TCTCCTGACCTCGTGATCCGCCCGTCTCGGCCTCCCAAAGTGCTGGGATTACAGGCTTGAGCCACCGCGCCCGGCGAAAAGATTTCAATCCGTCCAATCAGGTACGCAGCTGGAGCGGACAGAATGCTGTCTGGGGGCCTTTGTTTCTCGCTGCAGCGGGAGCTCCAGGTTTGTCTTCTGTGTTTTGTGTCCTTTGCTTATAGAGACCCAGCCTCTGTGGCTGTGTGACCTGCAAGTATTGAGAGAGCCACAGCTAAACCTTATTTTGACCTCACTATTTTTATTTTATTTATTTATTTTTTTTTTGAGACAGTCTCACTGTGTTGCACAGGCTGGAATGCAGTGGCTTGATCCCAGCTCACTACAGCCTCCACCTCCTGGGTTCAAGTGATTCTCATGCCTCAGCCTCCCGAGTAGCTAGGACTACAGGTGCGCACCACTGCACCCGGCTAGTTTTTGTATTGTTAGTAGAGATGGACTAGACTGGTCTCCAACTTCTGGTCTTAAGTGATCTGCTGGCCTTGGCCTCCCAAAATGCTGGGATTACAGGTGTGAGCCACTGCACCCAGCTGACATCAGTTTTTAAGTGTAATTTGCATTTTATTATTAGGGCTTGAAAAGTAAGAAAATATTTATAAAGAACATAAAAGAGATGAGTTTCAAAAAATAAATATCTAATCACATATTCCATTTGTTAATAATTCTCATTTACCTTTTTATTTCTCAGAGTGAGTTTAGGAATTTTCTCAGGTGTATTTTTTATGGCTGAGTGACTTCAAACAGAATTCCAAGCCTTAGCTTTAAGAATGCTAGCTACCAAGGAAGGAAATAGGGAAAATCTCTCTTCCATTTTGGCTGTAGACAAGAAATAAGTTTCCACAGGAAAATGTGGTAGATAATTGATGAGTTACATAGATTCATCAAAATATCAGTTTCTCCTTTTGTAGGGTAAATTTGTGACAGTGAATATCTTGGTTCTATATCATGTTGTCTTGATTTCTGAGTTTAATGCTAAATTATATGTGATGAAATGTGGTACCTTTTTTTTTTTTTTTTAATGGACTCTTGCTCTGTCACCCATGATGGAGGGCAATGGTGCAATCTTGACTCACTGCAACCTCTGCCTCCTGGGTTCAAGCCATTGTCCTGCCTCTGCCTCCCAAATAGCTGGTATTACAGGTGCATGCCCCCACACCTGGCTACTTTTTATATTTTTAGTAGAGACGGGGTTTCACCACGTTGCCCAGACTGGTCTCGAGCTCCTGACCTCAGGTGATCTGCCTGAGTCAGCCTCCCAAAGTGCTGGGATTACAGGCGTAAGCCACCACGCCTGGCCGAAATGTGGTACCTTCTACAAGTGTTCCCATATGACTAATTTTTAATTACATTATTTTTTAATAGAAACAAAGAAGTAGATATATTTGCTTTTCTTATGAAAGTATAAAATGCAAGCACCTTAGGTGCAATGGCTCACACCTATAATCCCAGCACTTTGGGGACCTGAAGCGGCTGGATCACTTGAGGTCAGGAGTTTGAGACCAGCCTGCCCAACATGGTGAAACCCCATCTCTACTAAAAATATAAAAATTAGCCCGGTTTGGTGGCACATGCCAGTAGTCCCAGCTACTTGGGAGGCTGAGGCATGAGAATCGCTTGAACTGGGGAGGTGGAGGTTGCAGTGAGCTGAGATCATGCCATAGCACTGCAGCCTGGGAGATAGAGCAAGACTCCATCTCA